TTATTTGCATTTTTTTTCGTTTTGCAGAGAGAGAATTGAATGAAGCATTAAACCAAAAAGCGCATTTCGCAACGTTTTCGGCTTTTGTGGTCGTTTTAGTCGAGTGAATTTGATTACAAAATTGCAACCAGATATTTTGCCACTGTATTGAGGTGCAATACAGCGGAGAAAAAACGGTTGTTTTTGTTTTTAAAATGCGCTAAAACCGCAATCAGTTTTACATTCTAATTATTTTCTTAATTGCAACTGGATAATAGGTAGATAGGTACATTTAAACTGTTGTAAAACTTAAGTAATTACTGTTCAAATGACTTAAGTCATGTTTTGATTAATAAAATATTATGTGACTTTAGTCATTAGTCACTTAAGTCAAAATAAATCAATAAAACCAGTTGTAACACGTATTTTTCATAGAAATAATTGAAAAAAGGAAAATTCAATTGACTTAAGTCATGTTTTAGTAACTTAAGTCAATTTAGGTATTTGACTTAATTTAAGACACAAAATAAAAATTATAAAATATGTTTTAATCCTCTTTTTCTTTTAAAATATGACTTAATTAGGTATGTTTTAAGTATGTAGGTATGTTTAAATGACTTAAGTCAAGTTTTTAGCGTAAAATTATTAAAAAAATATAATAAAACTCCAAATTTAACAATTTTTATTAATAAAACATTATGTGACTTAAGTCAATAGTCACTTAAGTCAAAATTCCTTTTATTAAATCAAAAAATCAGTTATAACACAATTTTTCATATAAGCCGCTAAAAAAACATAAAATTAAGTGACTTAAGTCAAGTTTCCAATACTTAAGTCACTAAAAAACAGTTAAAACATGACTTAAGTAACACTAGTAATTATCCTCCTCAATAATTACACTGTTTTAAGCAGTTTTTAGCTTCTGAGTAAATTCACAGTCAAGTTGAGTCAAGTGGACTTAACTTTTAGTCACGCCTATGATGCGCGACGCGCGACGCGCGCCGTTCCCATTGGCTGCGCGGCGGACAAAGCGAATCCATCACACATTCACACACACACACGAAGTGCGCACCACATCCGGAAAACAATACGCGTACTCTTCCTACGCGCATACTTGCTTAAAATACAATACATATCTACCCACTACCCACCAAGTGGCTTAAGTCACTTGATACGTAGATAATTATTGCCTAAGCATTATTTTCACAAAAACGGCACATTTTCTTCACGCCTCTTCATAGATTTACCAAATTCGATTTCGATGCGTTGTTTTTGTGCGTTTGCGCACGTTTTTTCTTCTAAAACGCGATGAGAAATTCATTTTTAATCGTATAAGTCGGAGTTGCGCCGGAATGTTCAAAATCGTGTCAAAATTATTCCCATCCGTTGATCTTACCTGCGGATGATGGTGAATGTTTGCGCTGTGCGCGCGCGCGCGTGAGAACAACGCTTTTTACGCCGCCTTCGACTTCTTTGCATTCACAATCACGATCGGAGATTATTTCTAGTCGTTTGTCTCGCTACACTTTTTCCAAAGAGAATTATTCTGAGTTATTCACGCAGGTCAGGAGTTAGAATATTGGTTAAAAGTGACTTAAGTCATGTGACTTAAGTTATGTAGTGGAAAAAGTGGGGAAAGTGTTTTTGGCGATATTTTAAATTTTAGTGACTTAAGTCACTTTATTTGACTTAAGTCATATCTTGGAAACTTAAGTCAATTAACTTATATTTGATTTTTATGAAGAAAAGTTGTTTTTGGTGACTTAAGTCATGTTTTATTGACTTAAGTCAATTTAGTTTTCTTTTAATTTGAGGTATATTTATGTAATTTCATAGTTTTTGAATTCGTTTGACTTAAGCCCTTAAAAAATTTATGAAAAGATGACTTAAGTCATGTTTTACTGACTGAAGTCAACTAACTAACTTTACATTCGATTAAAATGGTCTTTATATAGGTAATAGATTTAAGTAACAAAAAAAAAATCATTTGTAGTAACTTAAGTCACATTATCTTATGACTTAAGTCATGTTTTACTAACTTAAATCAAGCTTCCTATATTTAATTCGATAAATATTGATGTAGTCAATCAATTTTTGTAAAGAAAACAAAAATGTTTTGTGACTTAAGTCACCAATATTTGACTTAAGTCAACTTTGATAATCAAAAACTCTGTTAAATACTCTTTATTATTAAATTTTTGTTTATTATTCAATACAATCTAATTCTGCAACTGACTTAAGTAATTTACCTTTATTTGTGTTTATCTTAAGTGACTTAAGTCAGAATGTGTTGAAACCTAATTTTTCACGCCCCAAGCCCTGAAAACTACTGAACACTCTTAAAAGAACTCCAAAAATTAACCATGAACACATCCTATTCACCAAAACTCCGAACTCCGCCATCTTGAATACTTTACATTTTGTTGTCAAAATTCTACATGCTTAGTAATACGCTTATCATCCCCCAAACGCTACTGAAAAGCAGCAAGTCCAATTTACCACGCATACACAAACAGCATGAGACTTAAGTCACTCAGAACAGACTTAAGTCACTTTTAAAAATTGCTCAAAATTCAAAACTATTTTTTTCTGTCCGAATGCATAACTTTCTTTTCTATGGGCCTTTCCGAGAGTTTCGAGCTTCCTCTCGGTGTCACGCTTCCAATTGCACCCTACGTCAATAAACTCGTAAACCATCACAATAGACGCCATGTTTGCGCATTGCCCAGATATTGGGGGTGCAATATTTTCGTCAAACCAACAATACGGCAATTTCGAGGCGTCCAGCTGCGTCGAATGTTCACAACTAATTGCACCTCATGAACATGCCTTCAGCGAGATGACTTTAGTTCCGAAAAGTTAAGTAAATATGACTTAAGTCACTTGATGGTCGTAAAGTTCTAATCAAACATTATCGCCGTGGAGAATCGAAGAGTTTTCGTTCGAGTATGATTTAAACACCAACATGACTTAAGTTATTTTATGTGTGTGTTTTTTATCGGCCGCCATTTTGTTTTGACTTATCCGCGTTAATTCTATTCACATTGTGGTTTCTCAGTGTTAATTTTTTTTATGCGATGGAGATTTGTCCGGCTGTCAATCAATGGTTTTTTGCGTTGTGATGCTCAAAGTGACTTAAGTCAAGTTTTCTAAGGTGAAAGACGCTGAGATGAATGCGCATTGTCGGAATTATCCGCGGCGGATATTCCCATGGAGAATTAAACAAATCAATCTGTTTTTACGTCGGACGAATTTGCATTTGAAGAAAATGTCTGCCTTTCTATTTGATTTGATTCAGTTTGTATTAAATTGACTTAAGTCACTTCCAGCTTGACTTAAGTCATGTTTTTCTAATGTTAGTATCGAGTGTTAGGTTGAATTTTCTTTAGTTAAGGTAGTTTAATACTACTTAAGTATATTTTATTGACTTAAGTCATGTTTTCAGCTGTTTTTTAATGACTTAAGTCAAATTACATCCCATGAAAACATTTTAAACTTTGCAAGCTTGTAACTTTTACAATTTTTATTCAATTTTAATTCTGTTTTCAAAATTTTATAGATAATTTAATTCTGTATTTTTATACTTAATTTTATTTAAATATTTTATTGCATGTAAAAGTTATAAACAATTTTGTTGAATGTAAGTTAAAGTTTGGTTGCATTTGCGAAAGTTTTGCTTGGTTTTGAGTTTTGAGCGGAAAATGTTACGCAACTTGGTGTGTTTTGTCAACCGTTTGACGCTCTACCACAACAACAACCAACAACAACAATTGTGCGCACTGTGCAATATAAAATAGCAACAAAAAAGGCGACGCACAAATAGTCACGAATAGAAATTGTGAAAATGTTCAATGACTTTACGAAAATAATCAAACTCGGCAAGTTTAACCATGTTTTTGTAAATAACAAATAAACGTAAATTATTTAATGATTAAATCGGTCAATGACAAATTATTTATAAACAAATTCAGCTAATATTGAAATAAACTGAATTTGAAACTAAAAATTTCGTTTTGTTTCTAATTTTGACAATAACTTCTAAAGTTTTGCAAATATTTTAATGAAATTTGATACAGGGATAAATACATAAATTTTCTATCAAATTATATAAACAATCATGAAATTTAATAAAAATTACAGAAATTATAAGCATTTAAACTTCATTATAAAATTATGAATGTTTTCCATATTTTTTTTATTTTGCTTACAAATTTGTAAATAACTTTTGTAATAATTAAGTAATCTGAACGAAATTTGGTAAAATGATAGATAATTAAATTGTATTCAGGTTTTAAAGATTTTGGCAGATTATTTAAAAATTACAAAAGTTACAAGGATTTAAAAAATGCAATCGTAATTTTTGGTTTTCTAAAGAAAAAAAGTTTGAATTTTGTTACATTTTTTATTATAACTTTTATAATTTTATAAGTACAAAAATAAACGTTTGCCTCTTGATAGTTACTTAAATTTTATATCAGAATACCTTAAAAGTTCTAAAATTGAGTTAATATTGTTAGAGTTACAAGACTTCAAACTTCAATATGAAATTAGGAATGCTCCAGAAACTAAATTTTTGATTTTGTTTACCATTTTATTAATAACTCCCATAATAATAATTCCATCATTACCAAACTTGCCAACCTAATAAACAATAAAATTATCCATCAAATCATAAAAACTATACCAAAATCCAACCAAAATTACCAAAGTTACACGCACCTAAAATACCCACTAAAATTTTCCTCAAATATTTCATTCTTACCCATTTACTCTATCCACAACTGTTGAAAACACGAGTATCCTTCATTAATCGTGGTAGGCGGAGCATAACCCACACTTATCTCTGTGTTTCTCGTTTTCACAACAATCCTACGACATAACTCCCTCTACTATGCCGTACCGCTACACTTACCTGTGGTGCATGGGCACCACCCACCAATGTCTCCAACCTCAGGTGGTGTGCGCTGGGCGGCGATCAATGGGGGTGGTCACCAAGCAAGCTGGTAAGTCCGGAGTTGAGTGAGTTGTGAGTTTAGTGTCGGCGATTCGACGGTACAGTGTGCGTCAGAGTTTCTTCGTTGTGTGTGCCGAGTGCCGACGGAAGTTAAAAATTTTCGTTCGAAACTTTTCGGCGGAGATTTCTTCGAAAGTGCGTTGTGTTTTGCGTTGGCTGGCTGCGAAAGTATGACAGTCACTGGCAGCTTGGGAATTATGCACAGGCCTTGCTTTTCTGGATATCCTTTTCAAGGTAAGAGAAATTTTTTGAAAAAAATGAAAATTTTGGGAAAAATTTAAAAAAAAATCGTTCATAGTTATTAAATTAATTAATTTTATTTCGTTGGTTAGAAAACATACGAATTTTTAATTTTTTAAATTTTTTTAATAACTTAACTTAAGTCAACTTTACTTATCTTAAGTAATTATGGCCGATTTAAGTAAAAACTTTCTCTTTCTCATATTTATTATCACTAACATCCCTAAAAGCAAGTGAAGCAAGTTATTAGGGGTGCATTTGTGAAATTTTACGGTTTATGATTATTTATTGCACCCTGTAGTAAAATCATAACTGAAACTTGTGACGACAGTAAGATAATAAAACCAATTCCAAGATTTCCGTACCAATTGAACTTTCAAATGTGTCACACGCTCCAAAACTATCTCGTTGTAAATTTTCATAAATTTTCTTAAATTTTCATCCCTTAAATTCAATATTCAACCCCTAATTAAATATTTTTTGCTTTTTTTCCTTTTCATACGTTTTTTACTTAAATTTTTTGTTTTATTTTTATATTTTTATACTGATAATATTTATTTTGAATGGGTTTAGGTCAAGGACGTGTTAATCAATTAGGTGGGGTGTTTATCAATGGCCGCCCCCTACCGAACCACATCCGGCTGAAGATTGTCGAGATGGCCGCCGCCGGTGTGCGGCCCTGTGTCATCTCAAGGCAGTTGCGTGTTTCGCATGGATGCGTGTCGAAAATACTGAATCGTTATCAGGTTAGTTTATATTTTATTAAAGAATAATTATTTATTTTTTAAAAAATAATCAAGTTGGGTTCTATGAAAATTTGGAAGTATGATATGTTTAGTTTGTATCTTTGTAACTTTGATACTATTTGAGATAAACAAATTTTGTTTAAAGATTCATGTAGATAATTTAATTGGGTATGTTTTTGCAAAATTTGATTTAAATACTTAAATAATTGTTAAAGTTATAAACAAAATTGTGAAGTAATAGTAACCGTCTTTTTAAAAATAATTTATATTTTTATTACGACAACTTCAAATGCTTATAACTTTTACAATTTTTACTTAATTACAAAACTTTTCACTGGATGATAGACAATTTATTTTTGTTCATTATTGTAAAAATTTGTTTGAGTATATTTAAAATATAGACATTAATAACAAAATTGTAAACAAAATGCAAAACATTTTTCCAAGTGACATTAAAAATTTTGCTCTGCTTTTGATAGCTCACAACAGCTTCAATTTAAACGCAATCTTATCGCAGTTCTTACTCCTCAATAAATAATTTAATTATTTATAACCGTGTTAATTTTCAACAGCATATCGTGAATAATTTAAAAATTACAAGGGAAAATATAAACAAAATCAACTTGCTTCTTTTTAATATTCACATTTGTTGTTTGTATTTTGACAGCGCACAGTTTTTACAAATTTAAAGCAATTTTAATGGGGTTTTCACTATTTGATAGAAAATTTATTTATCTATCAGTATACAAATTTTCATCAGTATAACTTAAATAATTTAAAAATTACAAGGAAAAATGTAAACAAAATACAACTTATAAGTAAATATGCACACAAATAATTAAACAAGTAGCTATAACCAAAAAGCAAACATAAAAAAGTCTAATCAAAAACAAGCCAACAACATGTAAGTCAAAGAGTCATAAAACATTTACGAGTTTACGCCGAGATGCAAGCACACCTGTTGATTTCGATTGCGATCACGTTACCTACGCCGCCATCTCCGCCATTCAAATCTTCACTCGGTGCGCGCAAGCGGCAAGCGTGATAACCACCTTGCGGCGGGCGGATGCTGTTAGCGGTGTGTTGTTTGTTTTTGGGCGATTGCATGTTGCCACCTCGATGAGGCAAAAAGTTAACGAGAAGTTGAAAGCCGAATCGCCAAACGAAACCGAACCACGCAACTGCATGTGTGGAATGGCGAACGAGAAACGAACCGAATGAGTTTTATTACCCGCGCAGTTGATTTGTTTGGTCACGGTAGGGCGACATCAATAAAAATTTAATTTACACCACAAGGAAACGACTTTTGATGGCTGAAAAATAAAAATTATATTGGTATTTAAATATGGAACATTTTTGATGGGTTTTGGATATTTTGATAGTGAATAATGAAGAAATTTGATAAGATATTTAAATTTTGTTTTTGGTAATCGATAGGGAATTTAATTGACTATTTGCGGATTAAAGATGAATAATATGTCTATAATAGTTTAAAAGTTATAAATAAATTAGTAAACAAAATCAAATTTTGTATATTGACGCAAATATTAACTAAAATGTTTATCAATTTTCATCGATAATTACTCAAAAACTATTACACTTATTAAACTTCTGTTGGCAGTATTGAATGTAAAATTTATTTAACTAACATTTTATATAAATTTTGTTATAATGCTTATCAAACTACATATTTTATCAGTAAAAACACAAACATTGTTTTTTGAGAAAATAAAAATGCTTTCCAGACTTTAAGTTTTTATAAAATCCATGTTTTTATTATATTTAAATTTTGTTTGAACCATTCGAAGGATAATTTATTTGTTAATATTTAAACTAAATATCATTACTCTATCTTAATTATTTTGGAAGTTACTTGAAAATTAGTAAAATAAAACAAAATCATTTTCATGTACAACAAAAAATAACCATTACTAACTTTTACAATCAATATCAATAAAACAATATAATTTATTTATTTTATTTGAACGGTAATTAATGTTTATGTTATCTGGCTATAAGTAGACGAAGTACTTTATTAATTCTATAAATATTACGCCCGTTATCAGTAAATTACAAATTCGTGTCCCAAAATTGACTTATTAAATTAAAAAGTTTATAACTCGTGAAATATATAATCAAATTCACTTTTTTAAACGGCGACTGATAAACAATTTAATTTTTATATTCCTACATAAATTTATTGCTATATCTATAATATACAGGGTGTTATATTCAAAAATTTACTGAAAAACATGAAATTTTTGTTTCATTTTGTTTAGTTTTATTTGCGAGTTAAAAAATTAAAGTTTTTTTTAATAAAATCAGTACCTACCTATCGTGTTTTATTATTTCCGAGGAGTTGTCGCGAACACGACACCCAGCGCCCACCACCAGGAGAAGCTACCGAGAAAAACAATAAAATACTCTCTCGAATGTCGAATTTTATGTTTTCCTGAAAATTGCGATTACGGCAATATTTCTGGAACGTGCAATACGATGCGCATGCGCAAACACCTACGCTAAGTCGGCTATAAGTTTAATTTAATCCAATTGGTATTTTAATTGCAGGAAACTGGATCAATTCGGCCGGGTGTTATCGGCGGGTCAAAGCCACGCATCGCGACACCTGAAGTCGAGTCCAGGATCGAATCGTATAAGCGTGATAATCCGACGATTTTCAGTTATGAGATTCGTGATCGGCTGGTGAAAGAAGGCGTGTGTGATCGGAGTTCAGCGCCGAGTATTAGTGCGATCAGCAGGTTGCTACGAGGAGGACGAGGGATTGACTATGATGGTAAGTGTTAAGTTTTGATGTTGTAATTTTGATAGTGAATAACTCAGAAAGTACTAATGATATTTAAGATCCGGAAAAACATTATGGTAGAGAATTTAATTGAGTATATGTTCTAAAAAATACAATGTGGTATTTTAAAAATTGGCTGAGTTATTGAGGAATTAGTTATTGCTTGCAAAAATGTAAAAATTTTTGTTGGGAAAATTAATGTTTAAGTTAAAAAGTTAATAACTCAAAAAATTTAAATGATGTTTAATTTTTGTTTAAACTAACTGAAAGACAAACTATTTAGTTAGCTTCGTGTTGAAAATTAAAGGATTATTTTAGTAATTGCAAAAGTTACAAGAGAAATAATGAAAAAAGCAGTTCAGTTACAACCAAATATAAAACAAATTATGTGTCAACTTTGAAAGCTTATAATTAACAAACGATTAATTCAATTTCTATTTTGTTTTCATTATTAGATAAAACAATTAATTTTTAATCAAAACCCAAAATTTTAAAAGTTTTGAATCAAAATTGTAAAAGTTATAAACAAATAACCAAACAATTTCATAAATTCACAAAATTTAAGTCTATTTCATATAAATTTCTTCATTTTGATCACTTTGTATATTAAATTACGTGCTAATGAAGTTTATTCCTGAATGAAACCCTAGACACACTCGTCCACGAATTGATTGATCACTTTTGCACCCAATTTCGGCGGTTTTTGTTCGTTTTTCAGGCCGAAAACAAAACTTGTTTTTTTTTATTATTTGATTCTTCTTTTATTACACATTTCTAATTTACGGTGCTTGAGGACTGGTGTTATACTAAGCCACTATGGTTATACTAATTTGGGTCGGGTCGTGAAAAATCGTGTGAAGTGGTTGTGGGGGTGCCGCCCTCACCAGGTGGTCGCTTTTGTCGGCCCGCTTCGCAAAGCATCCCACAAACACTCGGAATCATATGGAGAGCATTCCAGATCATTGGTGAAACTGTTTCAAATAGCTTTATTTTGTTTTCTTTTATATTTGTAATCTTCTAACGATTTGGCACATTGGTTGGTTATTAGCAGGTTTTTATTTTTTTTTGTGTTTTTGCGATGGATCGGATTTCAAAGACGCGAAAAGGGATTATGGGATGTTAAACGCGTTATACGACTCATTAATTATGTTAATGAGCTAGGCACTAATTGAGTTAAATGTTTTAAGTGTTGGGTTTGTGTTTAGAACGTTTTAAAACTTATTATTAAACATTTAGTGTTCATTTACGGTTAATATTTTTTTTGTTAGAATTATTTTGCAACTATGATTGCTTGTAACTTTTATAGTTTTAAAGATATTTTAGTTTTGTTTTTGCAAAAAGATGAATAATTTAATTAACTATTAGTATAGTAATTTTTATTTTGTTATCTTATTTAGTTTAGTTGTTATTAAAGATTTTCTAAAATTTATTAAAAATATCAAATTTCAATTTTGAAAGTCTATAACCATGCCAAAAATGAATTGATATTAATTTTCTTTCTTTTAGCTGATAAATAATTTAATTGTTCATGTTCATATAAAATTTCACGTTTCTATCTTAAAATTTGCGTGAGTAATTACCAAAAAACTAAAATTTTGCAAAAACATTCTAATATTATCTGATTTCTGGCTCGGAAAAGATCAAAAGATCAAAAGATATTGAAACGCGCCCGCTGCGTGAAGTGTGTGCGTGATGAGGCCGAAAGCGGGGGTGCCAAAACTGCCGAAAAAGTTATTAATGAGCTTGGATCTCATTCCCGTCGGAGAATGATCCTCGACTTCTTCGCGCCGCGCCGCTGAAGAAGAAGCCGGCCGTAAAGAAAGCCGACCTCGTCGACCTCACCACCGCCCAGCGGTGTCCGCGTCGGAATGCACTACTGTATTTTTTTCATTTTCTCATTAACTGCATCACAGAATAAAAACTTTATCAACAACGAGAGCAACAAAAAAAAGTTGAAAGTCACCGAGGATTTAATTTCGGCCGGGCTGGACTTTAACGGTGAATAACTCGGGTTGTGTTTGAGATATTTTTATGTTTTAAACGGGAGGTTATAAACAATTTAATTGTTTATAAATTCTGATAAATTTGTTTAATTATTTAAATAATTACGGAGGTTATTAACAAAAATATACAAAAAGAAAAATTTAATTATTTTTTATTTATTTTTATTTCAATTGTTTATAACTTTTACAATTTTATTGATAATTTAATTTTGTTTTCATTGTTTAATCATAAATATTATGACCTGTCTACACGTCAAATTTTACGAGTTTATCATGAAAACTGTAGGAGTTATAAAGAAAACACTAAAATTCCACAAAATTTATTGGTTTTGATGAAACATAAAAATGGAAACCGATTGTGGCGATGAAAAATGGCCACCGGAAGTCGTTGAAATTACCTCGCACACCTGACTTCACACCTCTGCGACCGGCGCGGTGCGTGTTTCATTTGTCTTCGGTTTTGTTTGCTTTGCACGATTCGTCGACGCGACGAAAATTAATACGACCGAAATTACGTCGCGCCGCCATCTTGTGTTGTGGGGTAGTGTGGTGTGGTTAGGTGCTTAGAAAAAAACCAACAAAACCGCAACAATAGACGGGTGTAAATTGAGTATTAACGAAGGGTGCCAACTGTGCGACGCCGGTGAAAAAATGCGTTCCACGTGGCGTGCAACACACACGTGTGTTGGTAAGTGTAATGTAATGTTCTTGTTGTGTTTGTGAGGGTATCCATTGCATATCCGTAGCCGTGACTAATTCGCAGCTTATTTAGAGCTCAATTTCCTGTTTGGAAACAGTTGCCGTGTAGTGGAGTACACGAGTACGTTGGCTAAGAGAGGAAAGCATTATGAAATAGAAACGCTTAGAAAAAGTCACAATTACTCGGGTTCTACTTGACTTAGTTTAAAATAGTTTTCATTGAGTTATAGGAAATTTATTTAAGTGTATGTGTTACATTTTTTAGGAGTATAAGAGTGTTATTTTAATAGTTACAAAGAAAATTGTAACAAAAGTCTGTTGCGATGAGTAAAAATTTTTGGTTAAACAAAATCAAAATAATTTATGTTCTGGTTGAGTTTGGTTAAAATAATTTTTAACAACTTATAAAACATTTATTCAAGTACCTATATGTGTACCAAATTTCATTTAGTTTGAGTGATTATTTTCGGAGTTATGATAAAAATTGTGAAAAGTTACCGAAAACCTAACTTTTCAATGTTTTTGAAGAGTACTTCATATTTCAAACACTTGTAACTTTTACAATTTTTAATATTTTTGAAAATTGTTTTCACCAAAATATAAATAATTTATTGCTTTATAACAATACCAAGTTTTAATGTAATCTTTTTAGCGCTTATCAAGTTACAACGGTTTTACCAAAATTCCTCAACATTATTCCATAGAATGATAAAAGTTCAATTATTCTGAGTTTCTCTGCACATAAACCAACTTAAAACAAAATTTAACACTCTATAAATGTGGTAGATAAACCCACTCTCGTTCTCAACGGAGTGTGGCATGCTGCAGCCGTGTTTTTGCGTCGTTTTTGTCTCGTTTTTGCTCCGCGTCGTGGAATAATTGCAGCGCAGCGCGTCACGCGTCGCCACACTTGCGCGGACAAAACGAAAATGGCCGACAATGCCGACACACAAAATGTCGCCTCCCTGTTTATACCATTAATAACAACTCCAGCGCATTCTGAAACGTGTATGATGTGGATACGTACTTTGTTTGCGAGATATTCCAATGTCAACGTAAGAAATGACTTTCAATCGTTTTTTGCGCAATTATTGAACAATCTTCAGTGTTAGCGTTAGTGTTACAAGGTAACTACAGAGATGAGAATGAAAAGATCTTAGATGATTATTAAACCCAATAAAAATGAGGGTTGTAGGTAGTTAGAAAAACCCATGAATAAAAATCATTTTTAAATTTTGAATTTTTTTTGTTTCAGAAAAAGAATCTGATACAGAAGTAGCTTCCGATTGTGAATCTGAACCTGGAATCGCCCTCAAACGCAAACAAAGAAGAAGTCGCACAACATTCACAGCACATCAATTAGACGAATTGGAGAAAGCCTTCGAACGCACCCAATACCCTGATGTTTACACCCGAGAAGAATTAGCGCAAAGGACCAAATTGACCGAAGCTAGGATCCAAGTGTGGTTTAGCAACAGACGTGCACGTATGCGTAAACAAATGTCTTCTACATCATCATACACTCCTCTGGGAGTAGTGGGTAATCCTTATTCAGGGGCGGCAAGTGCAGCTTCCGGTGGGACATATCCGTCCATGTCTGGGGAAAGTGGATATACAACAGCAGGAAGCACACAAAGTAAGTTGTTTTGAAAAATTGGTTTTAAAAAGATGATATTTATTGATTATTTTTGTGTTTTGTTACAGTTTCTGATATTTACCATTCCGCACATTCTACATCACCAAATTCGCTGTTACATCATCAATCTGCGTATGCAACCCACTCTGCAATTTACTCCCCGCCTCATATGCCGAATATCATGTCTTCTACACCATTACAAATAAATTCTACATCCCCACATCACATTCGCATCTTGGTCACATGAATTACCCATCTTATCCGGTTCATAATAACAATAATAATAATAATAACAATACTACAACTACAAGTGGTACTGGAGGTGGTAATATCAAACCTATAAAAGAAGATTTACCAACTTCTGCGTCTTCTGTGTCTCCTCATAACCTCCAGGCACATTATACAACACCAAATCTCCCTCCGACACCGAATAGCCTCGTGACCATTATGGGTCCTCATAGTGGTAACTCCAACGGTGGTGGGACTTCTTTCAAATTCCAAAATGGTTCCCCCACTGCACCCACGAATGATTCAAGTGCTGCTTGTTCACAAAATAGTGAGGTTATGAATCTTCAACAACATCTACAACATCAACAGCAGTGGAGTCATCATCAGAGTCATCAACAAAGGGATTCGCCACCTTCCGCGTCACTGTTGCAGAATTCTGTAGTTGCGGGTAATGGAGAACAGAGTTTCGGTGGACATTCACATCATTATCATCATAATCTTACGAATTTAAGCAATTTGGGTAATTTGTCAGGCGCTGGAGGTGCGTATATGAATGTTAATCATGTGAAGGGTTTCGGGCATCCGCAAGCGTTCTATGGGTGGTATTAATGTGGGTGATGTTCATGATTGTGTAAAGAATGTTTTCAACCAGTGATTATGACCAAATGTTTAACTGTACATACATTGTGTATCTATATTTTTAGCAGATGTGTAATTTTTAATTGAAATGTATCATAATGTATAGAAGTATAGATTATATTAGGTTAGGTTTAAGTGTTAAGTATATGATGCAGATAGATAATTTAAATTTTAATTGCAAATGTCAAAAATGTTTTGTTTGTTTGATTGGTGAAATTATTTCTTACGTTTAGTGGTAATTAATGAACGCGGACTATTAGTTTGTAAGTCGGGTGGGTTCAGTGAATTTTGAGGATTTCTTTGTTTTGTTTGCATCGTTTTAGTCATCTTTTATACCTACAAGTATTCTATTCTATATTTATCTATAAATAAATATTATTAAAGCAATGATTGTTGTTTTTCTTTGTTTAAGATCCATCTAAAGTAACGCTTTTTGATCATTTTTATATGTTAGCGCGAAGAACACCCCGTATAATTAGAGGGAATAAGAATATTTATACTTTCTTTTTGTTATTCTATAGTTGAAAAGGTTTATATAATTTATATACTCTATCTACTTTCCAAACCCTATGGTACCTTAATATACCCTTTACAAATGGCTATTTTTTAAATTCTGGAAAGTTGTCGTGGAAAACACTCCGTAACTGCTGTCAGAATTACGCAATCTGGATGTTCTTTTCGACATTTTATAAGCAAAGAGTTTCTCTATAGAATGCATACCCTATCCAGCCCCTAAACTCCTTGGAAGTGCCCTAAAATTCCCTTTAAAAGTTGCTATTTTTTTTAAATTTCTAAAGGTTCTTGTGGAAAACACCCGGTATCTCAAATAATAATAAGGGAATTTAAGATTTTGCTACGTCCATTTATAGATGAAGAGTGCCTCAACAAAATGAGTATCTAGTTAACCCTCTAAACCCCTGGGAAGTGCCCTAAAAATCCTTTCAAAAGTTGCTATTCTTAAAAAATTTCAAAAAATTTCTTGTGGAAAACACCCCGTATCTCCTATACTAATAATGCAATTTAGAGTTTTGCTACGTCAATTTATAAACAAAGAGTGCTTCTACAAAATGAGTACCAAATTCACCCTCTAAACCCCCGGGAAGTGCCCTAAAAATCCCTTCAAAAGTTGCTATTTTTGGAAGATTTCTAAAAGTTGCCGTGGAAAACACCCCGTATCTCCTATAATAATAATGCAATTTGGAGTTTTGCTACGTCAATTTATAGATGAAGAGTGCCTCTACAAAATGAGTACCAAATTAACCCTCTAAACCCCCGGGAAGTGCCCTAAAACTCCCTTCAAAAGTTGCTATTTTTTGAAGATTTCTAAAAGTTGCCGTGGAAAACACCCCGTATCTCCTATAATAATAATGCAATTTGGAGGTTTGCTACGTCAATTTATAGACGAAGAGTGCCTCTACAAACTGAGTTCCAAATTCACCCTCTAAACCCCCGGGAAGTGCCCTAAAAATCCCTTCAAAAGTTGCTATTTTTTGAAGATTTCTAAAAGTTGCCGTGGAAAACACCCCGTATCTCCTATAATAATAATGCAATTTTTAGTTTTGCTACGTCAATTTATAGATGAAGAGTGCCTCTACATAATGAGTACCCAGTTAACCCTCTAAACCCCTGGGAAGTGCCCTAAAATGCTCACGGAAAATGACCATTTTTACTATAATTTTCAGATTTTGGTTGAAAAACCGAGTCCATTTTGAATTATATTGTATTTTTAGTCGAATTACAGGGCCAAATATGTAATTTTTTATTGTTATAATAATATTTTTGATAAAAAAACAATAAAAAAATTCATGGAAATTATTTTTGTTTGAATTTTATATCGTTTGAAATTTTTTCGCCTGAACAACAGGGTCAAACTTTTTTCGTTAAAATATTTTCGGCCGAAGAACAGGGTCAAACTTTTTCCGTTAAAATATTTTCGGTCGAAGAACAGGGTCAAACTTTTCGATTAAAATTTTTTCCTGCGAAGTCAAAATAAAACTTTAAATGCCTGTAACTCCTGAACTAAAAGGGCTAGAAGGAAAAGGACTTCAGTTGCTAAATGCTTAAGGAATTCTCTATTATATAAGCTATTAAAAACAACAAATTCTCAATTTATTGTTTTGTGTATGTGTGAATGTGCATGTGTGTGTGTCCAATTTCGGGCCGAAAACAATGGTAAAATCGAGTTGTGTTATCCGGATCCCAGAAAGTTGAGGAGGCTGAAAACTTTCGCGGGATTTTTGACTATATCTTTCTCTCTCTGACTTTATATCACCCTCTCTCTCTGTAAACTTTCGCGGGATTTTCGACTGAATTTGAAATCTATTTTCGGCCTCTCTCTTTCTCTATCCGTCTCTCTCTTTCATTTCGTTCAATTTTGCCTCGAAACTAAGGGAAAAATTGATTTAAATATTAGGAACCCAGAAATGCGAGGAGGCTGAAAATTTTTGCGCGATCTTCGCACGAATTCAAAATAATTCCGAATTATTTTTAAAAACTTCGCCGGAAATTTTCAGATTTCATGGAAAAAATGGGCCAAAAATGCCAACATTTAGGGGTGTTTTTAAGGCATTTCTAGGCCCTTTAGGGCACCGGAAATGACATCAAACGATGAATCAACTCTTTTTCTACCAAATAAAGCAAAGAACAATCAAATTGAACCAGAAACAGCCGAGATACAGGGCGTTTTCGAGGGCGTGTTTCAAAGAATTGCAAAAAAGGCCGACTTTCAAAGTAGATTTTAGGGCAGTTGTAAGGCTTTAAGGGCGTTAAAAAGTATATCGAACGATGGAGCAACTATTCTTCTACCACATGAAACAAAGAAAGCTCAAATTGAGCCAGAAACAGCCGAGATACAGGGCGTTTTCGAGAGCGTGTCTCAAAGAATTGCAAAAAAGGCCGACTTTCAAAGTAGATTTAAGGGCATTTACGGGGATTCTAGGGGGTTGAAAAGTATATCAAACGATGAAGCAACTATTCCTCTACCAAATGAAATAAAGAAAGCTCAAATTGAACCAGAAACAGCCGAGATACAGGGCGTTCTCGAGAGCATGTTTTAAAGAATTGCAAAAAAGGCCGACTTTCCAAGTAGATTTTAGGGCATTTATAGGGCTTTTAAGGGATTTAAAAATATATCAAACCATAAAGCATTTATTCCTCTATCAAATAAAACAAAGAACAATCAAATTGAACCCTAAACAGCCGAGATACAAGGTGTTTTCCAGAGCGTGTTTGGAAAACTGACAGGAAACTAATCAAAGTCAAGTTTATGGCATATTTTGGACCTTTAGGAAGCAGGAAAGTTTAGCAACAATTAAATAACTCTTCCTTTTTAAAATAACAATAACCAGATGTTACCTCTTTATGAGGTGATATCCATCAGACTACCAAAGAATATAAAAGACATTCCAATGTAATAACTATTTTCGGTTGAAGAACGGGGCCGAATTTTTCGATTGAAATTTTTTCCTGCGAAGTCAAAATAAAACTTTAAATGCCTATAACTCTTGAACTAAAAGGGCTAGAAGGAAAAGGACTTCAGATCCTAAATGCTTAAAAAATTCTCTATTACATAAGCTATTAAAAACAACAAATTCTCAATTTATTATTTCGTGTATGTGTGAATTTGCATGTGTGTGTGTGTCCAATTTCGGGCCGAAACCAAGTAAAATCGAGTTGTGTTATCCGGATCCCAGAATGTCGAGGAGGCTGAAAACTTTCGCGGCATTTTCGACTGAAATCAAAATGTTATTTCTGCCCCTAGAGAGAGAGAGAAAGAGTTCTCTCTCTGTCTCTCTCTTTCAATTCGTTCAATTTTACCCCGAAACTAAGGGAAAAATTGATTTTTGGTACCAGGAACCCAGAAGTGCGAGGAGGCTGAAAATTTTTGCGCGATCTTCGCACGAATTCAAAATAATTTCAAATCAATTTTAAGAACTTCGCCGGAAATTTTCAGATTTTAATGAAAAAAATGTGCCAAAAATGCCAACATTTAAGGGTGTTTTTAGGGCATTTCTGCGCCGTTCAGGGAATCGGAAATTATATCAAACAATGTATCAACTCTTTCTCTACCAAATAAAATAAAGAACGCTCAGATCGAACCAGAAACAGCCGAGATACAGGGTGTTTTCGAGAGCGTGTTTTGAAGATTTGCACAAAAGGCGGACATTCTTCAATAGCATTTTAAGGGCATTTAAGCCCTTCAGGGAGCCAGAAAAGGATAGCATTTAATAAAAGAAACTCCTTCTTTATTAATTATCAAACATAAAAACAAAATCAAGCATAAAACAAGTAAGATACAGGGTGTTTAATAACGCATAATTTAAAAGTCACATTAAATCACAATACACAAATATAAAAACGAAATGAAAGTGTTCTACTTACACAGCAAATGTTATTAATATATGATACACATTTTAATACTATTATAAACAATGTTTACTGCAATAAAAGGTTAGATGATATCACAAGAACATTGAATAAATTGCAGAATCAATAAAATTCTGCAACAAAAACTGAAATGAAATAAAAATTGCGTTGCCTAATGATAGGAGTATTACGTAATGACCCAACCAATTATTCAAGTGAAATTAGTTGAATCGGCTTGATCAGGATGAGATAACTCGTTTTTTTTCGCATTTTTTGCTTTCGTTTGTCCTATACACCAACAATCAGATAACGATGCATTGTAATGACAATCATAGCACGCAATTACACGCAAGTATAAAATGCCAGTTGCACTAGATCAAACTACGCATTCTACAAATATTAGTTACATCAACAACAACATTTATAATATAAAATATTAATATTAGCATTTTTTTCTGTATAAAAATGCATAAAGTAATTATAATATCCCTATGTGCAACTTTATTAACGATACCCTTCGTTGATTGTATTAATCAGGTGCATCTCTTATTAATTGCAATTATTATTATAATAATTAATTAAAATTATATTTCTAGGAGAGTGATTCCGTATTAAGTAACATTTTAAATCCCATTAGGAATTGTGTTATTTGGATATTTAGAAGACCACCACCACCACCTCCTCAAGGTAATTAATAATTACGTATTTAATTTAGCTATGTGAGTATAAATTATTTGTGAATTTTTATAGGCCCAGACATGCAAACAACTACTATGGCAGCAGTACCAGCAACGCCAACAAATCCTACAACTCCTGCAGGGGCAGAAACAGTTGAAGATGTTTAATTGTATCTATTTTAATAATTATCCACCATTCTATGCTAAACTATCTTAGTATCATTTAACAATTAAACAATTTTGTAAATAACTCATATTATATTTTTAGCAGGCAGTTAAAAATAATTGAAATTGTAAACTAAATTATAAAGGTACAAGCAACATACAAACGCTACAAAATTATTATAATTAAAAGTACGTACTTACAATATTTTTTTGCCACCGATGGTTGAAAACAAATATAAATTTATTGCATAATTACCTAAAACAATATTTATTATCACACAAATCTAGTTAAAAATATACGGATTGAAAACTTGAAAACAAGGCAAAAATCGAAAAATAGAAGAATTTTTACCGAAACAGTCCTCGTGGCGCCATCTAGCCGACAGTGTGTTGTACCAATAATACACCCAACGCTGCTACCCAGTTACAGGTTTTGACTAAAAATTGCTTGATTTGCTACTGGCAAAAGTTCGTACACAATCGGCGCTGAAACAAAATTTATTAACTGAAAAAAATGAATAAATTAAATTATACGTAAATATATCGTACCTTGTAAATAAATTCGGCAAATAACAAAAAAATTGTAAAAATTGAGAAAAATTTTCACCAGAAATATACCCGTGGCGCCATCTAGGGAACAATTTCTGAAACTACAAAACATCTACAATCTCGCTATCCATTTACAGGTTTCCACTTGTACTTACTTGAGTAGCGAGGGGCAGCAGTTCAGGAACCTACCACGCGAGGCCGACACATACACTAAAACAGAATAAAATATAAAGTCCGCTTGGAATAGCGCCGCAACTTGCCTCTTAACACGTTGAAAATTGAATGATACGCCTGAAACATAGATAAAATTGTTGATAAAAGTATGCGTAACGACAAACAGTTAAAGAATGCGTGAACTTGAACTCTTGTCGTACAAGTTCTTACATAATTATACAGAGTAAAACTGAAATAAGTGTAGTTTTTTTAGTTTTTTTGTTCTAATTACTAAACTATTGCTCGTATATAAACAAATTATACGTCAAATTGTTGATAATTTAATTGTCTACAAATATCTGTTTAAATATTGTATTTATTGTTTAAACTTTATGAGTTATAAACAATTTTATGCAAAAAATTGGCATTTTTAGGTGTAATTGTTAATTTTAAGGCAGTTCTAGTTTGTTTATAACCGCCATTTTAAATCTGGCTTATTAACAATTAATTTAGCTATAACCTACAGCAGAAATAATAAAATTTAGTGCAAAACTCAAGGAGTTATAAACAAATTTGCCACAAAAAATGTATATGAACACATAATTAACTTTAAAATTAATTTAAGCGTATTAATTAGTTATTTAGGACCTTTCAATGTAATTGTTTAAATGAACCACTTGATTAGCTATAATATCCACTATATTTCATAAAAATATAAACAAAATTACCGAAGTTATACGCAAAAAACTGAGAAATTTCAAAATATTTATCATAATGTTCATTGCTTTATAACTCCGCTAATAAACATTGTATAATAATAAAAAATATATTAATTGACGTAGAATTTAATTAACTTTAGGACTGTATAAAGGTCAACGACATTAAAATAAAATGCGGATGATTTTTATCAACATTTAGGGCACTCTGTCTCCAAAGTCAGACGCGCACAAAAACCGTCTGGCTTTGAGTGTGTTGATTGGATGTTGAACATTGAACAATCGTATCATCACGCTCAAAAAAGTGTTTAACCTCATAAATAATCGTGGTGTATTCCATATTAATCATTCTTGATATATTTAGATCATCTACTAGTTATAATTGACGTTGATTTGCAAACATTGAAGTTTTATTTGCATAAAGAAAAAATGTTTGATTAAAATCTTATTTAAACAATATTATAATAGTAATAATAATTTTATATTAATATGGTTTATAGGTATTTTAATTAGGTTTAATTTGATGTATGAATCGTTAATATCGGTTGATAATTATTAAAATTATAAATAAAAATGTGACAAAAATGCGTTTTGAAATAAAAAACACAAAGTTGAAATAAAATTTCAAAAGCATTTTAAGGTTATTTAAAGCAATCATAAACAATTGATATTAACAACAATTAAAGACGATTTAATAAACATTCATTTGCAACAAAGAATAGCTAAACCGGTTAATAATTTAAAAAGTTATTAATAAAAAACCAAAGGGTATAATATGAATCACCAAACATAAATTAAACTTTGTTGAAGCATCTAATGACGAATATGTTTTTATTTAAGCAGTTCATGCACACTATAATTACCTTTAATTAGATGTACAAAATGTTAAAAACCAGTTGTTTCGTTGATATGTTGTTGATCCGCACACAGCAAATGCAAAAACCGAATACTTGTTTAAGTTTTTCGATATAATCACTTTATAATTGGCTGACATTTTTTTCCACTTTCAAGTTCAACTACTTACAACCAGAAACAAAATTAAACTAACGTGAACTCACATCTTCTCTTGTTACCATGCTCGTGTCGATGCCGATGCCGATATCAAACTGCGATAACTTTGTTATTTCTTGAACACGTGTTTGTGGATAAAAACAAATCCAAAAGGCGAATGCACAAACTCAAACAATCAATCCGAGATTGATGATGAAGTGACGAAATACTCGTGCATAATACTCGTAATGCGAATTCAAGTTGTTGAAATCAAATATGTATTACATATACTCGTATAAATTGTACGAGTTACGCGCGCGTGATTCAGTGTGAGGTCGTTCTCCGCTCGAGTTGTTGGAGTCGACATTCGGCTCGTCAGAGAATTTAATTAAACAAACTGAACAAAAAGGAAACAAGTCGAAAACATTAAAGTTACATAAATATTTCGGAAACTTATTAAATAAATATCAGAATATAAATTAATTTATGTTGAAAATATAGCAACGATACTATGTAGGAGTAATGTTACACTATAGTTGCACTATAGAGTAATGTTGGAAAGGGTCATTATGACCTGAGGTACTCTCAGTACTTTGGGTTGTCAGCGGTCATCGTCAGTGTCATCTGTCTACCCGAGACGATCGGTCTACCTTTTTGCATTGTCATATTAATAACCAGTTTTCTTGCTTATTACATTTCAAGTGTATATTAACTCATCAATAAACATAATAAACTGTATCAAATATTATTCTTTCTAAAACCTTAATATTATATTGTCTAAGCTTCCAGCCTCCAATTCCAATAGGTTATGGGCCCAGGCTGTTAGAAAATATAATATTTGTCGAGTAAAGTTTTTTAAAGTTTTTCGAAAGACAATATTTAGTGCGGGAGTTATTCAGTGCGGGAGTGATAAGCGTGAAGTACATTTATCTCTCTGTTTCAAAGTTTAAATCGTGAAAATGCCTGAGCATTGGGGTATTAAGAAACTGAACAATGACAATTATGAAGTGTGGAGAAGTAAGTTAGAATTACTCCTCCTTAAAGAAAAGGTGTGGAATGTGATCGAGGAAGAAAAGCCTGCAACGGTTACACAGGCATGGACGACAGCCGATAATGACGCTCGAGCAACGATCGGACTTCTACTCGAAGATGATCAGATGGAGTTCACCAGGGTGCCAAGTCAGCCAAGGAAGCGTGGATAGCGCTTGAAAATCATCATCGTAAGTCAACAGCATCAGGCACAATTTATCTGTTTTATAAATTATTCCGATCGACTTTGTCGGAAGGAGGGGATGCTGAAAAACACATAACTGATTTGTCAGCGATTGCTAACAAGTTATCAGGATGTGGTTCGGGACTAAAGGATGATATACTTGCGGCAATTTTACTTGGAAGTTTACCAGATTCCTATAAGCCGCTGATAATGGGTATCAGCGGGTCAGCCACTGAACTCACATCAAAGTTTGCAAAAGAATTGATTCTTGAGGAATACAGGAGGCGTAAAAACACTGCAGAGATTAAAGATGCAGAACTTAAAGTTACAGAAGCCTCGGAAACAGCAATGAAGATCCAGAGTACGAAGTTCCACAGTGATAAAACATGTTTTCATTGCAAGATTCCAGGGCATCTCAAGAAAAATTGTTTCAAATGGAAAGCTTGGAAAAAGAAACAAGGTATTTCGAGTGCCAATAAAGTAACAGAATGTAACATGGTAATAGCCCATCCAGAGTCGTCCCCGAAGGTCATAAATGCATGTTTTAACGTAAAGAATTCACAGAAGAGTAATACATGGTATTTAGACTCAGGAGCAACTAGCCACATGGCGTGTAAAAGGGATTTGTTTGTTACACTAAAGCTTGAAAAAGGCGGGTTTGTTAGTCTTGCAGATGAAAATGTAAATGTTAAGGTCGAAGGGATTGGAAAGTGTGTCATAAATTGTCAACTCAACAGCGGCGAAGTAAAGAAAATTGTTATCGACAATGTGTTGTATGTTCCCAGGTTAAGCTCAAACCTAGTATCAATAAAGAAACTAGCTAGAGATGGGTACAAGATTATTCTTGAAGGGGAACAATGCAATATTTTTAAGGGTCCAGAGTTGAAAGCAGTTGTAAAACCCTACGGCGACTTATATGAGCTGAACACAGCTGAAAAGGCCCTGATTACAAAAAATCTAAATTGCAGTAAAGATTGTATACACGTGTGGCACAGACGTTTAGGGCATAGAAGTTTGATGCAATAAAGAGCTTAACCGAAAAAGGTCTAGCTAAAGGAATAATAATTAAGGACTGCAAAGAAGATAAAATTTGTGAGTGTTGTATAAAAGGGAAAATGGCAAGAAAAAGTTTCCCAAAGGAGTCTACAAATAAGACCGAGAAGCCTCTCGATCTTATCCATACAGATGTCTGTGGGCCAATGCAGACAAAGACCCCAGGTAATAAAAGATACATACTGACCCTCATTGACGATTTTAGTAGGTATACTAAAATTTATTTGATGGAAACAAAAGATTTAGCGGCAGCATGCATTAAAAACTACGTTGAACTTACAAAAACACAGCAGTGTAGAAAACCGAGGATAATTCGTTCGGATCGGGGTAAGGAATACGTAAATAAAAATCTTCAAGACTATTTAAGAGCGGAAGGAATCGAAACTCAACTAACTGCACCTTATTCACCTGAACAAAATGGAGTTGCAGAAAGAAAAAACCGCTCTTTACTAGAAATGTCAAGATGTATGCTGATAGATGCGGGTCTAGATAACAAGTATTGGGGTGAAGCAGTAGCAACAGCTAATTACCTTCAAAATAGACTACCGACCAGGACAACAGCAAAGACACCATATGAATTATGGTTCTCACAAATCCCAGATCTCACTAGAATAAAACAGTTTGGGTGCGAAGCGTATGTACATATTCCCAAAGAAAAAGAAGAAAATTAGATGAAAAGCCAAGAAACTAATTTTCACTGGATATTCGGAAGAATCTAAAGCATATCGTCTGTTAGATAAAAGTACCAATAAAATAATAATCAGTCGTGACGTCGTTTTCCTGGACGAGAAAGCGAGTAACCCGAAGAGTGAAGGAGTAATTCCTATATCTACGAGTATCAACGAACGGATTAGTAAAGACATTGGTAAGGACGACACGAGTGAAGTTCTTGTAACTCTCCGAGGAAAGAAGAATGATATTCAGGAAAATCAACTCATCCAAGAAGTTCAAGGCATTCAGGAAAACCAACCCATTCAAGAAGATCAAGACATCCAGGAAAATCAACGTCAAGGGGATGGTGATGGTGAAGGAGACCGACAAGAAGCTCCACAACCGAGACGTTCCGAGAGGACAAATAAAGGGTTCCACCCCGCTATTTGTGGCCAGTGCGAAACTGTCAATTGAAGAACCAAGAACTCGCGGACAAGCGTTATCGGGACCAAACAAAGAAAAATGGATGGAGGCCATGGATGAGGAAATAAAATCATTATTGGATAATGAAACGTGGGAAATAGTGCCAGCACCAAAGGATAGAGATGTAGTGAGTTGTAAATGGGTATTTAAAGTGAAAAGATATGCTCAAGGACTAGTGGATAGGTTTAAAGCTAGACTTGTAGCAAGAGGTTTTTCACAAAAATACGGGTCGGATTACGACCAGGTATTTGCTCCAGTAGTGCGACAAGTAACCTTTCGTGCAGTGTTGACGATCGCAGGTCAACAAAATATGGTCATGAAGCATTATGACGCAAAGACTGCTTTCCTTAACGGAAAATTGAAAGAAGTGGTTTTCATGAAGCAGCCGGAAGGGTACGAAGTCAAAGGTAAAGAAAATATGGTCTGTCGATTGATAAAAAGTATTTACGGGTTGAAGCAAGCAGCCAGAGTTTGGAACGAAAGGCTCCACGAGATCCTCGAAGAACTCGGTTTTTGTCGCAGCGAAGCAGATCCCTGCTTATACTTTAAAATCACGTCAGATGGAATAACATTCATCGTCGTTTATGTGGACGATTTACTTATCGCTGGTAAATTAAAAGACATCGAATCAACAGCCAAATGTTTAAACAAATACTTCCAATTATCGGATTTGGGTAACTTAAAACATTACCTAGGCATTCAAGTGGAGAGACAAGGAAACATTATCTCGATATTTCAAGAACAATACATTGAAAGAATGCTGATTGATTTTGGGTTAGAAGATGCAAAGCCGTCGAAGATACCTTTGGATCCGGGCTACCTGAAAACAAGAAAGGAGGACCCAATGCCGGACAGTGGCAGGTATCAGCAGCTTATAGGGGCTTTGCTGTACGTTGCAATAAACACTCGACCAGATATTGCAGCTAGTGTAAATATTCTAAGCCAGTATAATGTAAAACCATCAACGACGGATTGGACTGAGGTAAAGAGAGTCCTACGCTATTTAAAAGGAACGAAGAGTGTAAAGTTAAAGCTGAATACCAATTCAGAAATGAACCAATTAATCGGCTATGCGGATGCAAATTGGGCCGAGAACAGAACTGATAGAAAATCCAACAGCGGTTATTTATTCAAATTGTTTGGAGGACCTATTAGTTGGGCATGCAGAAAACAAGCCTGTGTCTCACTCTCATCAACGGAAGCTGAGTACGTGGCGCTAGCAGAGGCATGTCAAGAAGGAGTTTGGTTGATTCGTCTGTTAAAAGATCTACAGCACCAGAGTCAACTACCAGTCAAGATGTACGAAGATAACCAAAGTTGCATAAAGATGGTCCAAAATAGGAAATTCAGTAATAGGACTAAGCATATTGATACCAAATATCATTATGCTAATGAAATGTACGAGAAAGGAATCTTCATCTTCGAGTACTGCCCGACAGAGGATATGTTGGCAGATATTATGACTAAGCCAGTCAGGGACATCAAACTTAAGGCAATGGTCATGAAGTTCGGTTTGTCAAATTAGCATTTGATGAACAGGTATCGTTGAGGAGGCGTGTTGAAAATATAGCAACGATACTATGTAGGAGTAATGTTACACTATAGTTGCACTATAGAGTAATGTTGGAAAGGGTCATTATGACCTGAGGTACTCTCAGTACTTTGGGTTGTCAGCGGTCATCGTCAGTGTCATCTGTCTACCCGAGACGATCGGTCTACCTTTTTGCATTGTCATATTAATAACCAGTTTTCTTGCTTATTACATTTCAAGTGTATATTAACTCATCAATAAACATAATAAACTGTATCAAATATTATTCTTTCTAAAACCTTAATATTATATTGTCTAAGCTTCCAGCCTCCAATTCCAATAAAAAATAATAAAAAATTGAATTATTTACTCAAATTGATAAATAATAATTTACAATTTATGATTTCCTTATGTTTATTTAAATTACTGGAAAACGAGCACTAAAATTACCTAAAAACCACTTTAGTTGATAACAAAATAAGTAAATAATCATTTTAATGTCGAAAACTTCTCAGAAAATCCATTACTATTCATTATATAACTAAAAATATAATATTTTTTACCATAACTTTTATTCTAAATATAAAATACTAAAAAACAATTTCCATAATAACACTAAAATGATAATAACAAAATAAATAATCACATAATGACGAAAATAAACCAAAAATCCGTTATTATTTAAAATACTTCTAAAAATACTTTAAAAACCTTTAAAAATTCATATTATGTTAATAATTTCCAGGCTCAACTCGTAGCTACAGCAGGATACTCAATGGAAACCCACAAAAATATAGAAACCAAAGATGGTTACCTCTTAACCATGCATCGTATCCCTTACCCGAAGAACGCTAATTATCTCCGCGGTGAAAAACGTCAGCCTGTTTTACTAATCCATGGAATGCTAGGCTGTTCCGGACATTTCCTCCTACAGGGTGATAATTCTCTGGCTTATATGTTAGCAGAAGCAGGATATGATGTATGGCTGGGTAATGTTCGCGGCGTAGTTTATTCCAGAGAGCATAAAACATTAAATTATGCGAAAGATACTGAATATTGGCAATTTTCGTAAGTAAAAATTTGTTTATAATTTAAATAAAAAGAGAAGAATAAAAAATAAATAAATTATCAATTATAAAGATATCTATAAATTGCATAAACAAAAATCGAATGATTTTGATAAGCTATTGTTTATAATTCGATTAAAAACATAAAAAGAAAACAAAGATATAATTTTATTACTTTTATTATTTATAGAATGCACGAAATGGGAATATATGACCTACCTGCAATGATAGATTATATACTGGGTGTTACCAACTCCGAAAATCTGCATTACATTGGTTATTCACAGGGATGTGTTACATTTTTCATCATGTGTTCCGAACTTCCGGAATATTCGAAAAAAATCGCGTTATTTACTGGTTTATCACCGTTAATTTACGTTAAAAACGCAAGACATCCATGGTTGCCTATATTGTCACGATTTCAGACGCAATTACGAGTAATATTATTAATTAATTAATATTACAACGTTTTTATTTGTTAAATTAATCATTATTTGTAGTTTTTTACTTCACAAGTTGGATTATGCGGTGTTCGAGTTGGATTGTTTCGAAAATACGAAGGATTATTCACTTCTAATTCTTGGGGAAGGAACTTTATTAAATTTATGATCTTCGCAGCTTTTGGGACGAAATTATACAGGCTTAAAAATGTAATTATTAGTTTAATTATTTTTGTAAACAAATAAAGCTAAAATTTATTCTTAATATTTTAGGAAACCGTTGGTACCGCTGTAAAATTCATCCAAGGAATAAACTATCATAGTATTTACCATGCCATGCAGATATTCAACAAAAGTAAAGCTGGTAAATTTTTACGTTTTGATACTTTGAAGATTAATTGTTGGTAATATTTTTTAGAACAATTCGTGCAGTATGATTATGGTACAAAGAAAAATATGGAGGTTTATGGGTCTGAAACTGCAAAGGATTATTGTGTTGAGAATGTGAAGTGTCCTGTGTTGTTGTATTATTCGGATTCTGATTGGTTCATGCCAGCGGAGGTAAGAATTTGAAATTGTTTGTTTGTAAGTGAATAACGCAAAAAGTATAAATGGTAGAATGTTTAAATTTTGGGGATATGGAAGAGTGATAAATTGTCTTTAAAATTATGTATTGCGTGATCAAATATAATTAGGGGTTTTGTAATTACAAGAGTTTGAAAATCAAGGTTAGAAATCAGATACTTATTTGGTAATGTTTTGTTTAAATCGGTATAATTCAAAAAGTATTAATAATAAATTAATGAAATTTTAGACATTAATAGTCAGATAAATTATCTACAAAATGAGATATATTTTATAAAAATCTAATGCTGTGTTAATTAATTACAAGCAATTAAAAACCAGATATGAAAAAAATTCAACGTTGAAAATTTTTTATTGAATTTATTTCATTAAAGTGTTTATATCTTAAACTTCATGAACAATTAAATATTGAAATTAATTATACTAAAAGTTAATTAAATTACCTTTTAAACGACATATAAATAATTAAAATATCTCTAAGGATTAATTATTTATAAGCTTTTTAAATCATACTTTTCTTTACTAAAATTTGTCTTATTCTTTTTTTTTCTAGAATGCCACACTACTCGCTGAAAAACTCTCAAATGTTATAGCACATCACAAAATAGAAAGTAAAGACTTTTCCCACTTTGATTTCCTCATCGCCGAGGAAGCTGTGGAAAAAGTATATAAACCAATGATTAGTACATTCGCCGATTTTCAAAATCAAAAAGTTTAGTTCCAAATTTTAATTTAAATATTCATAGATAGTTTTAATATCTTTTTATTATTATTATTATTATGTAATTATGTATAAAACAATTTTTATATTTTATATTAAAATATTGTTACTCTAATAGCATATAAACAATAATACACTCAGAACAATCAGAAACGTAAATGTTGTCCGGCTGAATGTCCAGCTAAATGAGTATTAATAGGAGTTGGTAAGTGATTTTTAGTTCGTCCTGTCACTGAAGGAATATCTAGGAAACAGGATATCAAATCCATGGGTAGGGGGAAGATGATTGTCGAGTTCTTTTCGGCGGCGACGTTGTTTAGAGTTTGTAAATATCTCAACTGAAATATTAATAATAATAATATGAATGAATAATATCATTTTTTTGTTTATTTTTTTCCTGTAGTATTTGTTATTACCTGTAAGGCTCCTGGACTTTCATTAATGACATTTGCAGCATCACGTAGGGCTCTAGATGCTTTCATTTCACCTTCGGCTGCGATCACTTTGGCTCTGGCTTCTCTTGTTGCTTCGGCTTCAGCTGCCATTGCTCGTTGTAATTGTGTTGGTAGACTTACATCCTTTCTAAAATTATACAATTTTTGAATTAATTGAGTATATGTTAACATTTAAAAGAACTAAAAGAAGAATATTGCTCTTTTTGCTCTTTTTTGTTATAAATTATTTTTTATTTCTTATTTTTCCGATTTGAATATCTTATCTTGTAGAGAATTTTTCATAGATTACGGATCTTCAATCCGTTCTTGTTTATCTCTTTTAGTTTTTGAGTTATTCGCAAATAAAAAATCGGAAATTAATTAATTTGTTCATGAATGTCAAAATACTTACATTTCAACACGTTCTACTTTCACACCCCATGGATCAGTCGCCACATCAAGGGATGTTTGCATAGCATGCGAGATGGCTTCCCTATCTGATAAAATTTCGGCTAAATTTCGCGTCCCCAGAATATTCCGTAGTGTTGTCATAGCTAACAGTCTTGTTGAGTTACTAAAATCAAAAAATCAAAAACAAACAAAATTTTTATTTCATATTTAATAACAAATAACAACAAATAATTAATTAATTAATTACCTGTAATTTGTAACTTGCACAACAGCATTCAAAGGATCTTGTATCCTGTAATACACTACAGCGTCCACAGTAACCGTAACTGAATCTTTAGTTAATGCCTTAAAATGAAATATTAAACAATAAATAGAAAAATATTAATAAAAATAAGTAAAACAATAAAATAATTACTTCTTGTGGCGGGACATCAAAAGAAACAGTCCTTAAATCAACTTTCCTGTATGAATCCACACATGGCAGGACAAAAAATATCCCAGGACCTCTTGCACCACCTGTACGCAATCTCCCAAGACGGAAAATAACAGCTCTTTCATATTCCTGAACCACCTTAAATTAATTAATAAATATTTATAATTTTTAAATTAAAAAAAAACATGAAAAAATTGAATAATTTAATGAAACTTACTTTAAAACAGAAAAATAATGAGAAAGGCATTGTTACAATAAGTAATAAAACAGCACCAGAAGTTGTTATCAATTCAATCAAACCCATTGTGTTTGGTTTTTCTAAAAACAATTAAAAATCACAAAAAACCCACAAAAAATTAAATATTAAACTTACTATATTCAAAAAAGAATTCAAAACCTCCACTTCCCGTTCGTTTAAAACCGACTGTCATTAACTCTATAATTTAATAAAATTTAAACAAAACTGTTTGTAACCCTGAATATTTTGCTCATATTGTTGCACTTTTCATTCGATTCCTGTGTGTTCTTCAATTGGGTGGTCGTTATATTGCTATTTTTAACAAATTGTCGATTTCCGCTGCCGCATCGCTCGTCTGCTCCTGCAACACACCAACATTTACTTTATTTTCCTTTATTATACTCCACACATGCTCACACAAAGTATAACAACACGCTTATTCTTTTACAATTTAACATTTCACACATTTCTGGTGTCTGCAGGCGATGTGTGTGGTGTGTAAATAAACGGCGTGCATACGAATTTCGATTCCAGAGCGAGTGTTTATGTTCCGCGTCAAATTTTCATAAATATCGCGCGTTATTGCACGCTAATGATGAAACATTCTGGGTTGGGGGGGCGGGTGGGATTGTGGAATACATTTGGAGAGTCATAATATTTTCGTTTGATCATTTATTTGTGGCGGGATTTAAATTTGGAGAGAGAAATGTGACTTTTTGACTTGTTTTCAAACATCAATATGATGGGCGTTTGGAAATTGTTTATAAGTTTAGGAAGAAATGTTTGATTTTTAATTTTTTAAGGTTTTAGTGTTTAGAAAGAGTGTATATATTAATATAAAACATAAAATGTTGGGGATTTAGTGTTTAAATGTGTTTAAATTGTTGTTAAAGTCATAAAATGTTTTTAAACTCGAGAAAATCGTGAAATATGTACAATGGACTTCGACATGCAATAATTTATAAACAATAAGCTTTCTCAAAAATTTTTAGACGTAGTGTGGTAGAAAATTTAATTAGCTTTAATTTGATGTATGATACGTGTTTATTTAATACTGACTTATGCACTTTTTTGTTGTTTTAAACAATTAAAATCTATAAAAAATTAGAATTAACAAGAAAATATAATGTTAATTTCGACAACTTATAACTAATTAACTATAGCAGCAAAATTAAAAATTATACATTCAAATGATGAAAAATTTAATTGGCTATCTATCAATACTAATTTTATTGTTATTAATTTATTGCTAACTAAGAATAAATAATAAAACATACAAAAAAGCAAAAAATCAAGAAAATTTTGTAGGCAAAGTTAAATTGGCTGTAAGTTTTGTAAAAACTGCTTAATTACATAATTTTTGACGCCAATTTATTAATAATGAGTGCTCCCATTAGTATGCATCAAAATATTGTGAAAATATAATGCTAAAATGTCTTTAAATTAAGTTTAAAACACTAACTCCAAAAGAGTAACAAAAACACAGCCAAAAATTAATTCTCAACTTTGAACGCTCATAACTCAACAATCACTTTACTAAACTTAAAATTTCAAACGATTATGGAAGGAAAATTTAATAATCTTTAATTTGACATATAGTTTGTTATAAACAAATTAAAATTAATACCAAATAATCACAAAAACATACCAAAAACATAAACTCCTTAATTTCAAAAACTATAAACTTTAAAACACAATTTCTTTTATAACCACTACTTTTCCATCAACAATAATTAATTAACATAAACTACAATTAAACTATTCACTTCTTCTGCGGTCAGCAAGCCTTCACCAACTGAAGCTTCCTCCCGGCATGCTTTCCACCCAAGATTCAACAATGTTTACAACGAAATCTATAAATAAAACCCGCACATCACGTCTACTTGCAGTTATGCTAAGTAATCAAAACCGAATTTGAAAATCTCGCATCCCACTTCATCTGCATCCTCATCTTCATCTTCACCATCAAAACCCTAAATATCTGTGTGTAATTTGTATGCTCGCGCCGAGAAAGCGTGTTAATCTTGTTAATTTCGTGCTTTTGACGGTGTGTTTACCGAAACGTCGCGTTTTATGAATAGGTAAAGATGTAAACATAGTTTCTGAGCTTTGCAGAGCTTCTGAAAGTTATTAAAACATGTTTGAAGTTTAGTTAGCGCAGTTTTCGTGTTTATCGCGGGTTTTAATTAATTTTGGACGTAAATTACAGCCGCAGATGGCCACCAACCGCAAGTTATGATGTGTTAAAGTTTATTGTTGCGTTATAAACAATTTACGAGCTTTTTAATGTATCGAAACTGGTTTAGTATTGTTTTTGGGTGAAATATTTATTTTTAGGGTGTTAGACTAAATAATATTGATGTAATTTGGTTAATAGGTGATTGTTTTATTAATTTTTAGTTGAAATTGTTGTTTTTTATTGTTTTAAACAATGGAAAACAGTGAAAATGATGATAAATTGACATTACCTTCGGTAAGTTGTTTACTTTCGGTGTATGAAAGGTTGCCTATAGTGAAACATCAAATGTGGAAATAAATGTTACATTTTTTCGTTTATTTCATTAAAAACTATGTTTAAACAATAAATATTGATACAAAACAATTACAGGAAGTATTTTCTAATGTTTTTATTTATTTTTAATTATATAATTTGCTCTAAACCACCAAAAACACGAAAAAACTGAGAAATCTTACACAAACAACTTGTTAATTTTTGGTGTAATGAAGGTTGCCTATAGTAAACCATTAAAACTAAAATAAATTCTTGAAATTTTTCATTAAAACCCTTTAAAACATTATTTAAACAACCAAAACCCTTATAAAACTATGCAAAACTAAGACGCCGATATTTTACCAACACATTCCACCCATGGTTGTACAAAAACGCTATCAAACTTCTCCAAAAACTTACAATTTAGCAAACTATCGATTTCTTCCTGAACAACTGAACAAAAATCATTCAAAATCAATACAACAATATCGCAAACAAATACAACTTCTTCCTTGCGTGTCACTTCAAAGAAATGCGGATTCAGTGATTGGAATTTGTCCCAAACATCGTGCGAAATGTGCGTGCGTTGTTTATGTTCGCATGATGCGTTTAATTGCTTTATATAGTATTCCATTGTGTTTTCGAGAAAGTTTTGACATTCGTTCGGACCTGATAACATGATATTGTTGAGAGATATTATTTTGTTGCTTAGATCTGATGAGATTTCGACGAGGTGTTTTGCTAGGATTAATTCCAGGTCAGTGTGGCGTTTATCGTAGGTGATTAAGACGTCGTGAATACTGGATATGCATTCATCTTGAGTTATACAAGCAGAAGATGACTGAAAAGTATAAAATTGTTATTATTTAAGTTAAAAATTTAAAAATTTAAAGTTAATTTAAAGTTAAAATACGTTTTTTGTGAGTAAAAGTATAAGTTTTGTGTTTGACCGCTGATAACTTGAGAAAAATTGTTTATTATTAATTTGTTTAAACTTTATTAGATGTAAAATTTAATTATCTACATAATGATACCAAATTTGTTAATTTTTGATTAAAAAATCTTTAAGAAAAATAAGAAAACTAACAGAAAACATAAATTTTTAAACTTTTTTGAATCAGAAATTTATTTTTGATAGCTGATAATGTAAAAATTGTTAATTTTTTTTAATTTAAACTTATTTATTTGGATTAAAAATTTAACTGGGTTTCATTTTATATATAAATTGTTAACAATTTCCTTGAATTAATATGATTTATTTGCAAAAGAATGAAGAAAACCATAAAATTTAATATTTTATAACCAAATATATTTTTAACTTTGATTGTTAATAACTATTAAACTACTCAACCTATCAACATTATTTCGACGTCATCTAATAAATAATTTAATTGTCTAAATATTTCCTTTTTAACAATTCAGATAATAATAAAATTAATGCCACAAAACGCAAATCAAAACAAAAATGACTTAAACCAAAATTTCTTTGAGTCGTTATTTGATAAATAATTGTTTATAACTTACATGTAACAAAATCCCAAGCACAAAATATATTAAAAACATGTTTCTCTTAATATATTTAACTATATACTAAACTAAAATTAGCTTTGGAAGCTGTTTTTGTTTAAATATCGCAATAAAACTGTAAGAAAACATTAAAAATGTGTTTGAAAAGTTTAACAATAAAAAAACAATTGTTAACTATATAATATTGACATAATACACGTCGACAATAAATTAGTAGACAATATAAACTATTCTAAAGAGTTTTGGTTTATTAAATAATTGTTTAAGTCATGTTTTGTTAATAAAATCAACGCTTTCATTTCAAATCTTATTTTTTAAGTTGTGCGTTGAATAAATTAAAGAAATAAGTATTAAATCATCAATATTTATAGACAATATCACTAACAATCAAAACAACAACTAAAATAAACCATAATTTATCAATTTATAACATTTATTTATCTTTTATTCTCCAAAAACACAAAAATTTTAACAAAAAATCGTTTACTAATTCAAATGTATCATATGCAACCCAACACACACAAAACTTTCCAATGAAACAATGGAGGCGGCGAAAGCAGTGGTAGTGGCAGCGTCAGTGGCGCTGATCGCCGCCGCCGTCGTTCTGTCTCGTCCTGCAGCATCCTCTCGCGCGCGCACTCCCGCGCCGCCGTTGTCGCCGCCGCCGCCGTCGCCACCGCCGCCGCCAACAACTCGCGCGTAATACACGCTTACATAAGAACTAACGAAATAACGCGGAACGCAAAACTTAAAATTAACTTACAATTAAATTACAAAATTACACCTAAACCTAGTGCCAAAACTCACAAAAACATTACATTCACCAACAATTCCAGGATAATTACAGGATAATTAAACACAGAGTGTGTGCAAGTGATTTATTTAAACAATTAATAAAAAATCAGTAAATTTAGTTAAAAATGATTGAATTTTTATTTTTTCAACATTCCAGAGCGTTAATTATAATTAAATTACGTAAAATAGGAAACAGGACGAAAAGGACAAACGCAACGCAGGATAATTCAATTTTTGTCATGGCTCTAACGGTGTAACAATTTAAATTTGTTTAAAACATCCAGAAATTCAATTTTAAACACAAAAAAACAAAAAATAAAAAAAGTGAATTTATTAAAGGATTAAAAACAAAAAAAGGATCAAGGACCTCATATTCAATGTAAGTATATAAATATTTTATGTTTTTATCATTTTATTATGTATTTCAAGGTAAATATCCTCATATCAAACATTCATCCTGTGAATATCCTTGAATCCTTATAATTTAAGGATTAAATATTTATTACATGAGTATAGAGGTATTAAGGATGCTTTGATTTTTTTATTTTGTTATTGATGTGTGTGTATGTGGTTGGATGCGTGTGAAAGGTCCTAACAGGATTGTACGGAAGCGCACGGAATTGGAGCAGATGGCAAACAGGACGATGGAGGCGGCGGAGACAATGCGAGACATTGTGTGCGGCAATCGTGGGGCACTTGTGCCAATTGGCTTGCGGATTGTGGATGTGGATTGTCAGTGTTGGCGGCGTCGTTCCTGCGGCGGCGAGGAATTGTTGCCAGTGCATAGCATAAGCATAGGCAGTGTGTAAACTGAATATACTCGTACTATACAGGATAATTACGTTATGGAGTTACGGAATAGTATTAGAGGAGTATTTGTGGTGGGTGTTAGGTGAGGATGTGTTGTGTTTGGTTGGATGATTGGGAATTGAATTTGAAAATTGAAAATTCAAAAGTTTGGTTGGTATTTGAGTGGGGTTAAGGTTTGGTTATGTTGCGCCATCTATAAGTAGAAAATAAGGTAATAGGTGTTTACGGTTTTTGAGTTTTTGGCTTTGGTTTTGTGTTAGATTAGAGTATAGTTGATAAAATCGAAGAAAAATGCTTGAAAAAATGATTTAGAGAGCGAAATAGGTTTTTTGTGGGAAGGATATGTTGTTGGGTATTGTAGGCAACTTAGTATACACTATTGTTTTGACAGCAGATGGAAGAAACGTGTTTTCTTGTAAGTTTAAGTTTTCTTTATCAAATTAATGCATTTCGTATAAAATATAACAGTTTTTTTGGTTAAATGTAGTGATTTTTTACATTTTGACATCAAAAGTTGTGAATTTAACCTAAAAATTCGTATTTTTGACATTTATTTTATATTTTATTAGTTATTTTACTTAAATTTAATTAAAAACTACTGTTTTACATCAAATACTACCACAAAATCAGCATTTTATATTCACAATAAGTTTTTCTGGTAAATTTTAGAGAAAAATTACATATTTTGACAGTTTTAGGTTAGTTTACACTTGTTTTGACAAAATTTTTGTCATTTCAATCAAAATTATTAGTTTTTGACAGATATTAAGACATTTTTTTTTACTATTACTGTTTTTAACATGTTTTTGTTATTATTTCTGTGAAAAATAGTGAAAACATAATAAACGTAAACGTAATAGCTGTCAAAAATTGACTAAACAATGAAAACTTTAAGAATTTTTGATGAAACGCGTCAAAATGTAACAAAAATATCAAAATATTCTTCTATTTAACCTAAACAAAACCTATCAAAACTTGTCAAATATATACGAAATTTAAGGAAAACTGTCAAAATAAGACTAAAATGAAGTAATATTGGTTAAAAAATACTTTAGACACTGTCAAAATTCTGTCAAAATTATCAAAAACTCAAAAATAGACAAAATATGTTAAAATGACAGCAATGACAGCAAAAGACTGTCAAAATATCCCTAAAATGTTAAAATCCTTTTTTATTAAACTTAAAATAACCTCCAAAAAATGTCAAAAATAGGTCAAATAACAACTTTACTGGTCAAAATAATCCATTATAACATTTCTAACCTCAAATTTCTACGTTTTTCCTAAATTTCCCCAAATTTTCCTTCATAATTCTTCACCAAATCCAAAACATAAACTTTAAAACACGTTTCTGCACCAATATCACTTATCTAATGATTAAATTTCTTGAAGACTATAAATTATCCTGTATTGGTGTGTCTGGCGTATCCTTGAGATGTATCTTCTCCTCCTCTTCCTCTCCTTCACTCCTCCGTTCCTTCTTCTTATGCATTTGTGTGTTTGTGAGGTGCACGCCACGATCCAATTAGCTGGGGGGAAATGTGCCGCGTAAGGACTCTTCGACTCTTCGCGAGGACTATCGCAGGCTACGCACAAGTAGCTGCTATCCAGCGAACCGCCGTCACGCTCGATTGCCAACGCAACGCGAATTGCGGCCGATCGCATCGTATACATCCTCGTGGCATGGCGTATATCCTGAAATATCCTGAAGGTTTTCCTTTACGTTTTTCGTTTTTCGGTATTTTCTGCGTCTACGTCTTTGCGCCCGGTTGATTCTCACCGGCTGTGGGTTTAATGGATACAATGTGTAAAAAAGGACGAAAAAGGATGGAAATACTTCAATTCACTTTAGTTTTATTTCAAGAAGGATTTTTCATGGATTGTAGTTTTAAATTAGTGAAAATATCATTTAGGTGAAGTTGTTTTCTAAAAAAAATTATTTTTTTGAATTTTTGATATTTTATTGTTTTTTGACAGTTTATAGAAGTTTTAGGTTAGTTTTGTTAGATTTAGATAATTTTAGACAAAAAAACTTGAAATTTGTTGTGTTTTTGACAGTTATAGGATATTTTAGGTTAAATAGAAAAAATTTTGTTATTTTAATTTCAACGGTTTTTAGTGACATTTCTGTTATTTTAACTAATTTTTGTCAAATTTTGAGGTTTTGATCATTTTAACAGAATTTTGACAGTATCCAAAGTATATTTAATCAAAATAACTTTGTTTTTGTCTAATTTTGACAGTTTTCCTGTAATTTCTTATATATTTTTCAAATTTTGACAGTTATAAATTATTTTAGTTTAATAAAAACAGATTTTGACATTTTAGGGATATTTTGGCAGTTTTTTTGGTGACATTTTTGTCATTTTCACAATTTTTTGGTTTATATTTGACTTTTTGATAACTTAGACAGCTTTTAATGTATTTTTAACCGAAATAACCTAATTTTAGTTTTATTTTGACAGTTTTACTTTAATTTCTTCTACATTTGGCAAATTTTGACAGCTATAGGTTAGTTTTAATCGAATAAAAAAAGATTTAGATATTTTTGCAACATTTTGACATTTTTTCATCTAAAATTTTTAAAAATTTAAAGTTTTGTTAATTTTTGACAGTTATATCCACATTTCCATTATTTTCCTAACCTAAATCTTTTTCTATTTGTCAAAAAAATATAGTTTTACTTAAATAGTCAAAAACACTGTCAAAACAAGTGTAAACTAACCTAAAACTATCAAAAATCAGTGTAATACATTGAAAGATTAACCAAACTTTAACTTTCCTCGAGTTTTAGTTTATCTTATCACTGTTTTAATCAATTTATAAGAATCTAAGCATCTTCCAAAAGTTAGATACTTTCCCCCTTTCCTCTCCTCCTTTCAACTCTTAGAGTCATCCCTTAGAATTCCCCAAAAAGTTAAATCACAAAAGTTTAACTTAAAGTAAAGCGTTTTATTTCCTTGAATCTAACTCCTAACTCACGAGTATTCTACCTGAGTTTAGTGCTGGATTACTTTCACATCCAGGACAATTCAGTTAAATCTTTTTATCTAAATTGTTTATTTTTTAACTTTTTATCTTTTTAAATTTTGTGTTAAATGTTGAAAATGTTTGTTTTTTGAATAATTTGTTTATTTTTGAGTTTGGGGTAAAGTTTTTTGATATATTTGATAGAATTTAGGAGTTAGTAGATTGGTTTAATTGTTTTTGAGTAATATTTTAACCAAAGATAGATTTTTTGATCATTTTGACAGAATTTTGACAGTTGTTGAAGTGTTTTTAACCGATATAGTTTCTAAATTTTGTGTCAAATGTGGAAAATGTTTAGTTTTAGCAAAGGATAGATTTTAAATCAATTTGACAGAATTTTGACGCATTTTCCTTGGTTTAATGTATTTTGACACTTTTTTGACAGTTTGAAGTAAAATATATATTTTTTTGATATATTTGATAGAATCTTAATATTTGTAAGTTAATTTTAGAGTTTCTATGTAATATTTTAACCGAAGATAGATTTTTTGATTAATTTGACAGAATTTACTTTGGTTTAATGTGTTTTGACAGTTTTAGACAGTTTTTTGACAGTTCAAAGTAAAGTATTAATATTTCTTGACACATTTGATAAAGTTTTAATATCTGTAGGTCAATTTTAGAGTTTTTATGTAATATTTAACCAAAGGTAGAAATTTTAATCAATTTTATTAAATTTTGACAGATTTTGAATGGTATTTAACCCATACACTTTTTAAGTTTTTTGTCAAATGTGGAAAATGTTTGGTTTTGTTTAAATTTTATTATCTTTACCTTTGGTGTAAAGTAGTTATCCTGTTCGCGGATGGATAAACAGGCAGGACGAAAACATGTTCACATTATTCAGATGATAGTCAAGTGGAGGCAGGCCGAACAGGCGCAGGGCGCACAGGACGCGCAGGACGCGCAGGAATATGTTGATGGCGCGCAAATATTTGCTCGAGCGCTGAGCGGCGTGTAATTGCTTTTGAAAAGTGCTTAATTTTACAAACTCAATATTTATTGTCGAAAATTTCAAGATAGATGTCCAAATGTGCTGTCAAAACAAAAAATAACCTAAAATTACAATCAAACAACGCAAATTGAACAAAACTTAATGAAAAAAGTATTAAAACTGTCAAAAATAAGTGAATGGCTGTCAAAATGTCAAAACTAACCTAAAATTTTATAAAACACTGAAAATTTAGTTAAAAATTATTAAAAACTGTCCAAAAGTGCAGAAAAACAAGTATTTTGCAATGAAAATAAGAAAAATTTAAATCAAGGTTTAAAATATAACCTATAAATATCAGACAACTGTCAAAATTACAGAAATCTGTAAAAATTGCATTGAAAAACTAAAATTTTAAAGAAATTTGTTGAAAATTTATCGAAAACGACTAAATAAGTGTCAAAAATGATGTCAAAAAGAAAACTAACCTCAATTTATACAAAACCAACAAAAATCTATTCATAAACTGTCAGAAACTGTCAATAAACTCATAAAATACTAGTTTTTCGTAACAAAAACAAGAAAAACTTTGTTAAAAACATAAAATCAATCAAAAACACACAAAAATCATCAAATCTAAACAAAATCAAACCATAACCTTGAAATCTGTCAAAAACATAACGTCAACATATTTCTAATCACTTAATGCATCACTATTGTATAAAAATCCTCTAAACACACTTGAATGATACCCATTCATGCATTGTATGTCACCTGCACCAGGATATCATCCTTCCAAAGGACCTCGAATTAAAAGATTAAAAAATTGCAAGATTGAAAAATTGCAACACATCTATCTATTCCATCCTCTTCTTCCATCTTTTTCCAACGGCGCAAGCTGAGTTTGACTTATTCCTAACAATCATCCCCCGGCCTGACTGGGTTTCGACCCGTTCAGATGCAATCCTTAGATGGATCCTTGAGATGGCAGATAGGATGAGCGCAGCGTGTGCGAGCGGGACGTCCGTGCGCGCCGCACACGAATCGATCGCGTGTAATTGACCTACTTTCCTGTCCGCGCGCTGCCGCGTTTCTTCCTTTCTTTTGCCGAACACTCGGGGCCAACCCTTTCGTCCTGCGGGATAATGCCACGAGGATAATGCCACGCGAGCATGGAAAACACTTTACGTATACGCACTATGTGACAGGATGTGGTAAACAATACAGTGCTTGATTTTGAGTAAAGAGGAATTAAATGGTTTTTTGACGTTTTGAGGTTAGTTTTGGGTGGAATTTTAGTTGTAGAGGTAATTATGGTTGTTTTTATGTCAGATTGACTGATATTTGATGGTTTTTGGTTGATTATACAAGTAAATGTTTGTTTTTTGGTAATTTTGACAGTCTTTTGACAGATTTTGACAGTTTGAAGTAAAATATTTATGTTTTTTGATGTATTTGATTGAATTTTGACATTTGTAGGTTAATTTTATTGTTTTTGAGTAATATTTTTATTAAAAATTGATTTTTTGATCAATTTTGATTGTTTTTTGACAGTTTTCTATTAATTTCTGTAATATTTGACACTTTTTTGACAGTTATAGGTTAGTTTTGCGTATTTTGATAATTTTGACAGTGTTTTACATACATTTTGATTAATTTTGACAGTTTTTTGACAGATTTTAACAGTTTGAAGTGAAATATTTATGTTTTTTGATGTATTTGATTGTATTTTGACATTTATAGGTTAGTTTTACTGTTTTTGAGTAATATTTTGACTAAAAATTGATTTTTTGATCAATTTTGATTGTTTTTTGAGTGTTTTTCATTAATTTCTGTAATATTAGACACTTTTTTGACCGTTGGAGGTTAGTTTTGCGTATTTTATTAGTTTTGACAGAGTTTTGCATAAATTTGGATTGATTTTGGCAGTTTTTTGACAGATTTTGACGGTTTAAACTAAAATATTAATGTTTTTGGATATATTTCATTGTATTTTGACATTTGTAGGTTAGTTTAAGAGTTTTTGAGTAATATTTTGTCTAATAATGGATTTTTTTGATTAATTTGACAGTTTTTTGACAGTTTTTCATTAATTTCTGTAATATTTGACACTTTTTTGAGAGTTGGAGGTTAGTTTTGCGTATTTTGTTAGTTTTGACATAGTTTTACATCAATTTGGATTGTTTTTGACAGTTTTTTGACAGATTTAACTTGTTTTAATGAATTTTTCTTATTTTGACAGTTATTATGTGTTTTCAAGCGTTTTTTGACATTTTGAAGTCAAATATTCATATTTTTTGACAGTCTAGAGCAACTTTGAATATTTATAGGTTAGTTTTACATCTCTCTAGCCTTATTTTAACCTATCACAACTTATTAAACCAAATTTTATCGTTTTTTCCTTTAATTCATTGAATATTCAACAATTTTTGACATTTTCAAGGTTAAATTCTTATTTTACCTTCTACTGAAATAAAATATGACATTTTCCTTCAAATTCCTTTAAAATTTACCTAATTTTATTTGTTTTTCTCTTTTCAGCTCCGTTTTGATGTCAAAGAATAACGTGGAGTGTTGGTGCGTAGAATGTCGAGTGCGCGACGAGTGCGTGGTTGTTGTTGAAGAGCAGCGAGTGCTGCTGGGATAGTAGAAGCAGTAGAAGCAGTAGAAGGTGGAAGGATAACACAGGATGAAGCTGAGCGTGTCGGCGTACAGGGCGCACGCCTCGGCGCACAAGAAGATCCTGGACACGGCTTATCAGCTCAACTATGGCTCCACGTCGGCGTCGCATCATGCCACCACGACAAATGTCACTCCTTTTCAGGTAACACACGTTTTAAATGTCAAAAAGTCATAGGATCATATATTTTTGGATTTGGAGCGGTTTTAAGTGGGATAAAACAGTTTTGAGGTTAGAATTTTATATAAAAAGTGTTTCTTGACAGAATTTTGGTATTTTTGACAGTTTTGATAGTAATTGTATTGTTTTTGTTAGTTTTTGATGATTTTTGACAGTTTTTTGATGTTTGAAGGTTTGGTTTGTTAAATTTGACAGTTACAACCATTTTGATTCAATATTTGACAGTTATTTTTATATTTACAACAATTTTTGATAGAATAAAACCAATTTGAGGTTAGTTTTCTACCTGTTAAGGCTATTTTGACAGTTTTGTTCAATTTTTGACAGTTATTGAGTGTTATTTTACTGTTTTTGTTTATTTTTGATCAAATTCTAATAATTTATGACAGTATTTAATGTTGAAAGGTTAGGTTTCATAAATTTGACAGTTATTTGCTATACTTATACATTTTGAGGTTAGATTTGTACATGACAAGTGTATTTGACAGTATTGCTTTGTTTTTGACAGTTATTCATTAATATTTTATTGAATTTGCTTGTTTTTGATGAAATTTTTGACGATTTTTGACAGTTTTTGATAAATTGAAGTTAGTTTTGTTAAATTTGACAATTATGACAGTTTTGATTCAATATTTGACAGTTGTTTCTATATTTGGAGCAGTTTTTGATAGAATAAAACCTATTTGTGGTTAGTTTTCTACCTGATAGGGATATTTTAACAGTTTTGTTTGGTTTTTGACAGTTATTAATTGTTATTTTCTTGTTTTTGTTTACTTATGATCAAATTTGGATGGTTTTTGGCAGATTTTGACGTTGAAAGGTTAGGTTTCTTAAATTTGACAGTTATTTGGTATACTTATACAATTTGAGGTTAGATTTGTACATGACAGGTGTATTTTGATAGTATTGCTTAGTTTTTGACAGTTTTTCATTGAAATTTTATTGAATTTGCTTGTTTTTTTTGAAATTTTAACGATTTTTGACAGTTTTTGATAAATTGAAGTTAGTTTTGTTAAATTTGACAGTTACAACCATTTTAATTCAATATTTGACAGTTATTTGACATATTTTTACATTTTGAGGTTAGATTTATACATGACAAGAATATTTTGACAGTTTTATTCAGTTTTTGACAGTTACTGATCGTCATTTTACGATTTTTCCTTATTTTTGATAAAATTTAATGTTTTTTTGACACTTTTTGATGTTTTGAGGTTAGTTTTGTAAAATTTGACATTTACTTTTGTTTTGATTCATTATTTGACAGTTATTTGACATATTTTGACACTTTATATTGTTTGGAGGCAATTATTGTTCATATAAGTTATATTGTTATTAATTTTTCTGCTTTTTAACATTTATTCACAAAGAAATTTAATATTTTATGGTGATTTTTGACATGTGGCATCTGCTAAACGAATAAAATGTCTCGCAATCTTGGCTAATGTACGAAATGACGAGTAAATATTTTAATTAACGCGTTGGGCGCACGTTCGTTGAGTGAATAATTAAAATCGAATCACATTACGCGTATGTATTTTTAATCAAAATAACGAGCGCGCTCGCAAATCAACTCAGCGAATGCAAAACAAAACAAAACCAGAACAACACAACACAAAACATAAAACAAGTAAAACAAGTCAAACACATTATACAAATGTACATCATGTTCAAGTTATGCTCGTTAAAAAGCTATGAAAACAATTGTAACAATCATGAATATGAATGAATCGTAAATATTTATGAAACTAACCTCAAAATTATAAAAGGTGTCAAAATATGTCAGAAAAATGTCAAAAAATGACAAATGTCAATTTAATGTAATTGACAGCTGTCAAATGTAATAAAACTGATCTTCAAATGTGAAAAAACATAAATATTAATCAACGTCAAACAAAAATTGACATGAATCGTAAAAAAACAGTAAACAACTGTGAAAAACACGAAAAATAGGAGGAATATGAACAAAAATATCCTTTGAACTTTACAAATAGCAAAAATATATGAAATAACTCTCAAATATCAAAGCAAAATATCTATAACTGTCAAATTTAACAAAACTAACCTCAAAACATCAAAAACTGTCAAAAATCAATAAAATTTTATCAAAAACAAACAAAAACAATAAAATAAGTATCAATAATTGTCAAAAATTAAACAAAACAGTATGACTACCTATTATAACTCCCCAAACTGTCAAAAATTGTCAAAATACTGGCAAAAATCTGTCAGAATCAAACAAAATCCATCAAAAGCATTAAAAACTGCCCAAAACATAACAAACACTTAAAAACCCACTAAAAACAGTATAATAACCTTTAAAACTGTTGAACACCTAACCTCACACAACCATACCCCAACCCAACCTCTAAATAACCTAAAAATCCAAACATAACACTAAAATCGTTAGAATTTTATGAGAAACGATCAAAAACAAGAAAACAACTATCAATAGTTTCCAAAAACTAAACCAAACAGTATTATATCTTAGTAAAACTAACCATACTACTCTTAATCTGTCAAAAACTGTCACAAAACTGTCAAAAACACACAAAAACCATCAACCTCTAAAACTCTAAAATACTTAACCTCAACCACAATACACCCACCTAACCTCTAAATAACCAAAAAACTCAAACATAACCTCAAATGAAAACACCTTCACACCTATATCACCTATATATTCTTCAATCGTTTGTAATTTATCCTTCATTGGTATTGTTTCGATGCTTTCTGTTATTTACGCTTTGTTTTTGTTGTGTTTTTGTTTTGTTTCCATTGTTTGTGTTCTTTATTCACTTGTTATCGACGCCGACACTGCGCGGCAGTAAATTCAGCCACTGAACCGAACACAACCCGACGCTTGAGTTTTTGGCAAGTCGACAAAACACTTATTCTTTCTTTTGCACCCCTCACTCCATAAGCACACCACCAGCACTATTACTGTTTTTCTTTTTCATCCCTTCACACTGAACGTAATCCTCTGAGGGTTGTAGTGGTTTACAAAGTGTTTCAGACCAAAAAGGGAAAAAGAGAAAAAAGAAGGAAAAAGTATGTGTATCTAAACGTTTCTAATATTTCATGGTTTTTTATTGTTGACTAGGGAAGGAAATATTAACCCTTACATATTTCATCTCTTTAAATTTTTATTTTTTGTGTTTTTAGCAGTTTTTTGTTTAAAATTTTAAAGTTTGGTTGGAATTTGAGTGGGTTTTAAGTTTGGTTATGTTGCGCCATCTATAATTTAAAACTGGGGTTATGGATTGTAGTTATTTTTATTTGTTTAGGTTTGTTTTTTATCTTAGATAAGAGTATAATTGTTAAAATATAAGAAAATTGTGAGAAAAATGATTTAGAAAAGAAAATAAGTTTTTTGCGATATAAATGGATTGTTGGGCATTGTAGGCAACTTTATATACATAATTGTTTTGACAGCTGATGGAGAAAATGTGTTTTCTTGTAATTTTAAGTTTTGTTTATCAAATTGATGCATTTCTTGTAAAATATTAACAGTTTTTTGGTAAAATTTAGAGACTTTTGACATTTTGACATCAAAAGTTGTGAATTTAACCTTAAAATTAGTATTTTTGACATTTATTTTATATTTTATCAGTTATTACACTAATATTTTATCAAAAACTACTGTTTTACAACAAATTCTATCAAAACTCAGCATTTTACAATCAAAACAAGTTTATCTTGTAAATTTTGTTGAAAAATTAAATTTTTTGACAGTTTTAGGTTAGTTTACACTTGTTTTGACAGTTGTTATCACTATATTGTTTATATTTTTATCAAAATACATTAAATATTTCATGTTTTACAGATTTTTGTTTCAATTTGTTTAAATTTTTGGTTTTAATGCTTTTCCGTTTAATATTTTGTTATTTTAGGTTATGTTTCATGTATTTATGTAAAAATGTTAGTCTTGTATGTGGGTGTATATTGTGAAACGTTGAATCGAGCTTTCCATTCAAAGCTCTTTCACTTTTCGACCTCCTGAGCTTCAGGAAATGCATCGACATCGACTGTCGAGTCACGCGTGAAATCCTTTTTATTATCCTTTTGGGTTTCTACACCCAAAGCGATTCGATTCATTCGGGCTTGCCGTAGGTTTCTAGCAGATGTGGAACAGTTTCACTTTTGTTTCCGGAGCTTTCGGAGCTTTTATAACCAGAAAAACAGATAATAATGATATTTTTGTTAATTTTGTTAATAACTTTTGAGATAATTAACGGATTTTGATCAAATAAAATGCAAAACATAGCTAGATAAATATTATATCAGAATGATGAAGAAAATTATATATACAGAGTGTTTAAATATTTAATTTTAGTTTTTAAATATGAGAATACTAAAAAGATTGGAAATAAAATTTAATTTTTAGTTTACTGAAATAAGATAATTTAAATATTCTTTCATCAGTTTATAAACAATTTAATTTCCTTTAGTTTGATGTAAAACATGTTACATTTACATAAATATTTAATAAGTTATTAAACAAAACATAAAATTAATGGTAAATATTGCAATTTTTGTTTATTTTATTAATAACTATTGAAATAATAAAGCAATTTAAACAAATTAAAATGAAAATCATAGCCAGATAAATACTCCATCTAACTTTATTTTTAATTATGATATATAAGGTGTTTAAATATTTTATTTTATATTTGAATCTAAAACTTTGCTAAAGTTTCATATAAATAATCTAAAAAATAATATTTTTAGTTTTTTGTTCATAACTTTTTAATTAAACAATATTTTTATAAAATTCTTTCAATAATATTTAGAAAAATAAATTATCGTTCATTTGACCTATAACGCATAACAAACAATAAAAAATTTAATGAATTATTCAATAAAATATAAAAATATTCCAAAAAATATTTTTTTTATTATTTTATTAATAACTCAATAAATATTTAACGAATCGAAAAATTCAAAACCATCTTATAACCAAT